TTCTTCTAAGGGGATTCTTGGAGTTCTCTTGGGGAGGTGGGGCGTTTAGGCGTGTGGGGAGTTCTAGGTGTCTCCTAAGTCCCTTATTTATATATTTAGGAGTCCTAATTAGGAACTAATATTATAGCCTTGCTAATTCTATTCCTTTCGGAACTAAGGATTGGGTTTAGGGGTTGGGTTTATATATGAGGGCCCATGGACTACGGTGGGCCTTTTTCCCTAATTGATCATTATGATTTATTCCTTCTCTTGGGCTTATTGATTGATTAATTAAATGGTTTTAGGGGCCGTAACACGGGGTGTTACACTTAACGACTGGGCTGAATATCTCGAAAAAGTCCTCACCAGGGACTTGATTAAAGCCTTTGGCCACAAGGCGAGCCTTGTAGCGTTCTATAGTACCATCAGCCTTACGTTTCGTCCGGAACACCCATTTGCACCCAACTACATTCATGTGCGGGGTGGCAGGCACAAGTTGCCAGGTGTTATTGTGTAGCAGCGCGTTAAACTCTTGGTCCATGGCGTCCCGCCATTGTGGGTGACCAACTGCTTGTGTGTAGCAGGTCGGATCAGCTGGCCATTCGGTCGCTGTGAGCGCCTGAAATTGCTCATCAGCGCCTTGTGTCATTCGCCGTAGACGCATAACATGGACCCGTTGCTGCGGTCTCACACGAGCCCTTCGTCCACGAGGTGCCCGAACCGGTGCAATTGGGTTAGCCGGGGGTTCCTGAGCTGGTGGTAGCTCCGGAGCCGGGGGTGATTCAGGCTCGCTAGTCCCGATTAACACGGGACTTGAACCCCATGGTTGAGTTGCCTCAGCACTCCGAGTCGTCCCCTGTAAAGCTGAAGAGGCTGTAAAGGGAAAAATGGACTCATCAAAGCGGACATGACGGCAAGTATAGGTTTTTCCAGTATTAAGGTCCATGCATCGGTAACCCCTAAAAGACTGAGGGTAACCTAAGAACACACACGGGGCTGAGCGATACTCTATCTTGTGGCGATTATATGGCCGCAGATAGGGAAAGCACAGGCACCCGAAGACTCGTAGGAAAGTGTAATTTGGTTTTGTGTGATGTAGACGGAAGAATGGTGTATCAAACTTTAAGGCAGACGACGGCAATCGATTAATGAGGTAGGTTGCCGTCTCAAACGCATAATCCCAATGCCTGAGTGGAACAGAGGCTCCGTCCATTAGGGATAGGCCAGTTTCGACAATATGCCGATTTCGGCATTCTACCCGGCCGTTTTGCTCATGTGTGTAGGCACATGACTGCCTATGGGAAATCCCGAGTTTAACAAAAGTGTTGTGTAACCGACGATACTCCCCCCCAAATCTGACTGGATGGACTTGATAGAACGTGAAAAAGTACGTTCTACCAAAGCCCGCCAAACATCGAATACTTTATAGATATCGGTTTTTAAGCGCAGAGGATAATACCAACAAAACCGGGTACTATCGTCCACGAAAAGTACAAAATAACGATAACCTTCCGCAGAAACAACGGGTGCGGGCCCCCAAATGTCTGTATACACGAGATCTAATATATTATTACTAGAACTAGCAACTCTATCTAGAGGAAAGCGAGAAGCTTTTCCAAGTTGACACGAAGAGCACAAACTGGGACTATTTGCTTTATTTGGTATGATCGGACACTCTTTTAGGACACGTTGCTGAGCCTGACCGTGTGGGTGACCCAACCGCTGATGCCAAATTGTAGATGACGCACGGGACGTGAAAAACGCGGAATACGACCTCGGTACAGACAGAGTGTACAGCCCCCCCGAGCTAGATCCTTTAAGGAGTACCACCTGAGTTTTGCAATCCTTCACAACAAAGAATGACGGGTGAAACTCGAAATAACAGTTATTATCATTAGCAAAACGGTTAACTGATAATAATGAAACAGACAACTGGGGAACATGTAATATATTAGATAAACGTAACGTTTTAGAGACCGACGGAATTAATGCATGACCAATACCAGAAATTCCCAAACCTGCGCCGTTACCCACTTGAAGAACGTCATTGCCACCGTATTCATCAATCTGAGCCATCGCCCCAGAGTCCGGCGTGGCGTGCGCCGACGCGCCTGTGTCAGGGAACCAGGCAGTCACGTCGGCCGGCTGGCGTCCGTCTCCGGCAACAGCAACATTGGCATGGGCAGCGACGGGAGGCGGTTCTGAGTACCGGCGGTGGCAGTACGCAGCTGTGTGGCCCTGAGCGCGGCATATTTGGCAGCGCGGCACACCACCTCGTCCTCGGCCTTGTCCGCCACGCCCTCTATTGTTGTTGTTGCGTTCCTGTCCGCCACGATGATGGCGTCCACCACCACCTCCGGACTGCTGTCGGCCACGACCGGCGTACATCGCCGCTGGAAATCCACTCGGCGGAGCCACAGCACCATCCGGGAAATCATCGGACTGGATAAACTGCTGGGCTTGCAGGTAGTCGGACAGTAAGGGGATCGACACTGGCTTACCGGAGATGGCGAGAGTAGCAGCGATAGCACGGAATTCCGGCCTCAGTCCACGGAAGACATACAGGTTCTGCTCTTCCAATGACATGGGACGGCCGGCCAGAGCCAACTCTTCGACCAACAGCTGGGCTCTCCCGAGGTACTCCAATGGGGTACTATCGCCTTGTCTTAGCGCCTAAAATTGGCCTAAGAGATTCAGACACCGCACACGCGTAGAGGATCCGAGGGCAGTTTCGATCGCCAACCACACCTCACGAGCCGTTGATCTTCCGACTGCTAGGTGCATAACCTCCTCAGATAATGAGGAGATAATTAAGGAGAGTATCGACGCATCTTGTTGCATCCACACACCATGCGCCGGATTTGTCGTAACAGAGACGGTGATACCGTCGGTCGATGCATCGCTAGGCAGAGTTTCCAGTGTGGGAGACGGGCATGGATTTGCACCAACCACAAATCCTAATAGGCCCTGTCCACGTAAAAAGGGAATAATCTGGGTACGCCAAAAAAGGTAATTACGATTGGTTAATTTTAGGGAGACAAAGTGGTGGGCAGAGTTCAGGGTGTTGGGGGTGGTATTCGGGGAGGACACGGTGGTGGCTGTTGGTGTACGCTCCGACGAATTACTCGACATTTTGGGTGAGAGGAGAGAGAGGATGGTCCTGGCTAAACTGATACCAGATGAGTTGGAAAAGGATGATTCAATTCAAACTGAAACTTGTTACAGAGATACAATAAGAATAGATCCCTAAACTATAGGCTATTGAATAGAGCAACAATTCTAAGCCACATAATAAATATTAAATACAAACTTATACTAACACACATAAACTCTTAACTCTTAAAAAAATCTCCTATTTCGAATGTACATAATGATATAATAGAATGTACATTATTGTATAACAGAATACACATAAATTTCGTCACGTCAACTTCCCATATAATTTAACAAAACGACGTTATTTTGAACAAGACGGAACACACAATGCATTGTGCGTCGTGATACACGATATGACAATTGCTAGACAATATGTGGACCATAATTTGCAATTTGAGCACATATCCAATATCGAATGAGCTTGCTGGGCTATTGGCTCATTAGAAGGTTCGGACCATAAACAATCCGGAAAAGTCTAATTTTTTTGGTTGAAATCAAGAAACCTCCGTCTAGACACGTTCCTATATGCTGGGGACTAGTCAACGCCTCTTTGCACAATAGTCAAAGGGGTTGGTAGGTTTCGCAACCGTACAAGGCTTCACGCGGATGCGGCGGTCCAAAATTCTCGAAATCTCAATCACACCCAATCAGGGCCCGCCAACCGTTTTCACATTAACCCTTTAAACGCTTTCAGATTCGTAAGCACACCAGGCCTGACCCTCTCAACCCAAAAAACCCCCACGTGTCTTCCATCAATCGTTATATCCTACACCACGGCGCACATAGCACTGTGCGCCGCGCGCCTCCCAAAACGACATCGTTTTGGGGTAGTGTTGGGAGGCGCAATAGAAAGTTGCTGAGATTATGTGTATTTGTTCACAACGTTATGTGTATTTGTTCACAATGTTATGTGTATTGGTTCATATAGTTATGTGTATTTTTTATACAATTATGTACATTCTTTTTATACAATTATGTACATCCGAATCAGAAAATTTGTGTGTATTATGTTAAGAGTTGATGTGTATTATGTTAAAAGTTTATGTTTATTATGTATTATGTTAGATTATGTGTATTATCTTTTAAAAAGAGTATGTATATTTTGTTATATAATTATGTACATTCATGTATAACATTATGTGTATTCACTATAACATTATGTACATTCTTGAACAACGGGTTTTTTTCTAAGAAAAAACTACTGCCATTCACTGGGGCGGGAAATTTCAAAAAAAAAATAATAATTAAAACGACGTCGCTTTGCATCTGGGCGCATAGTGCAACGCGCGCCGTGGTGTAGGATATAAATTGCCGTCTTCCATCACACGGCAAATTATGCTGTGCATCCGTATGCACCATGCATGGTGCATACGGATGCAAAAACGACGTCGTTTTAATAAAACGCGTGTCTCCCCTTAAAAAAAAAAAAAAAACAGGTTCGATTCCCAGCAACAACATATGAACTAAAATTCCATAATCGATGAACTATAATTCCATAATCGATGAACTATAATTCCATAATCTAATCTATGAACTAAAAATTTCAGAATGAATGAACTAAAATTCCATAATCTATAAATTAAAATTTCAGAATCGATGAACTACAATTCCATAATCGAAGAACTATAATTCCATAATCTATGAACTAAAATTTCCAGAATGAAAGAACAATATAATGTTGTTGCTGGGAATCGAACCTGAATTTTTTTAAAAAGGGAGACGCGCGTTTTTTAATAAAACGACATCGTTTTGACATCGGTATGCACCATGTATGGTGCATACGGATGCACAGCATAACGATTGCCATCACACGGTCCTGGGTACCCGACCAATTCAATTTTTTTTTTTTTGAGAAGCCAATTCAAGATTTTCTAACAGTAGTACAGTACACTAAGAAATGGCTCTTCCCTCTACTCTATAAATACAGTTGTTCATGCCATTGCCACCACCACCCTCATCTTCACCACACCTCTTCTTTATCACTTCAGATAAAGAACCAAGAATCGAACACATATATAGAGAGAAAGTTGAGGGGCGACCTGCGACCATATTTTTCAAAAAACACAATTAGGTGGCAGAAATGGCACACAAGTTGAGCATGGCTTTGGTTATAGCAATGGTTGCAGCTGCTGCCATGTTGCATGGATCATCTGCACAAACCACCCATGTTGTGGGTGATACCACCGGCTGGACTATTCCCACAAACGGCGGCGCCTCCATTTACTCCACCTGGGCTAGCCGGAACACCTTCACCGTCGGCGATATCCTCGGTAAACAAGAACACAACAAAATCATTTTCCTCTAGCTAGCTTTCAGTTGCTTTTGTCGACGCCTAAATTTCGATCTGTTGTTTCGCTTGCAGTTTTTAGATTCCCCACAGGAGCCCATGACGTGACTCAAGTGTCGAGGGCTGGTTTTGATGGATGCAATGCCACAAACCCAATTTCTCAGAACACTAATGGCCCAGCAAATATAACCCTCACAACTGCTGGCCAACACTATTACATCTGCTCCTTCCCAGGCCACTGTGGGATTGGCCAAAAGTTGGCTATAAATGTCTCCGCCGCCGCTTCAACTGCTCCCGCTCCTCAGCCATCCGCCGCCGCTTCTCCACCGCGTGCCACCCCCGCACCGGTGCCTTCTCCTAGGGCTCCAGCATCAACCCCAGCCGCCACTCCTGCCTCCCCGCCATCCTCTGGCCCTGCACCCACCACTCCACCTTCTTCCTCCACCCCATCTGTCCCTTCCGTAGATTCTCCGCCGCCGCCTAGCACCGCCGCACCTTCTATGGCTATTGCGGCCTTGCCACTCACTTTTTTGTCAGTTGCCTTAGCTTTCTTGTATTAGAATATTAGAGCATTTCTAAGTTTTTGCCATTTACAATTTTTTGTGAGATACATTATTTTACATGATTATATATATATTTTTTCCGATCCACTTTGATTTGTATTAATAAACATCTCGTTTTCATATATATACTCCGTATTATTTTTTCTGTCATGAATTGTTTTTGTCTCCAGAATACATAAGCAAATAATTATCCTTATTGAATTCATAATTCATGTAATCAGATTGCTTTGTCAAATGGGTTTCATGTATGTGTAACATACTCTAATAAAGATTTAACCATAAAATTTTAATTGGAAGTCACAGTGCATGATGAATCTTTATTTATGAAAACTCCAGATATTAGAAAACATGAAGCTTACATCCCACTCAAATCTTGATCACAGACTGTTTTTGGACCTAATTTAAATATTATGATCTAATTTGATTATAAATTATAATTATTTTTTTAATCCCCTTCCAGAAAAGATTGTTTAGCAAATAAGTGCGAAGAATTGACTAGGGAAAACGTGTTGCATTTTGATTTTTTTTTTTTTTTTGTTTTTGTTTTTTTTTTTTTTTTTTTTTTTTTTTTTTTTTTTTTGAAATTAGTGTAATAAGAAAGATATTTGTAATACTACATCTATTTCCACTTTGAACTGCTTATATTCCTTGCAGGGAGTGTTATATATGCTCTAATTGATTTAAAAATAAATTGGATTACTATTTTTTTTTGCATTCACTTTTCTTTACCTAATAAAATTTATATACACCTGGCACGAGATATATTCCATAGGATACATCTATCATATATATTTTGAAAGATATATGCAATTTTAGAAATTTTAGTTGACCAGTTGATGAGAACTATAGGAAACTGTATATTATAAACTGTAATTACAACTATACATAGAGGGAGTATATATACAAGAGGAATCATAGGAAGACTGTGATGCGGAGTCATATAATGACTCAAATACAAAGTCCTAATACTCCCCTTCAAGCACATTGTATACTTGTAACCTTTAGCTTGTCTCTAAGAAAAGAAAATCTAGGACCAGGCAATGCATTGGTGAATATGTTTGCAAGTTGATCTTTTGTTGAGATGAAATTGACTTGTATTTCTCCAGCAATAACTTTATCTCTCACAAAATGGTAGTCTATTTCTACGTGTTTGGTGCGTGCATGAAATATGGGATTGGCGCACATATATGTAGCTCCAAGATTATCACACCATAACTTTGGAACAGAAATATTTGGGACATGAAGTTCACGTAAAAGAGACATAATCCATGTTACCTCAGCACAAACATCTGCTAGAGCTTTATATTCGGCCTATGTAGAAGATCTAGCAGCAGTTCTTTGTTTGTTGCAGACCCATGATAGAAGATTAGAATCAAGAAATACAGCATAGCCACTTGTAGATTTTCTATCTTCTGGATAGCCAGCCCAGTCAGAATCAGAAAAGGCATGAATTTCTCTTAAAGTTGACTGCCTAACTCGTAAACCAAAATTAACAGTTCCTTTAACATATCTCAAGACTCTTTTTAGATGCTCTCGGTGAGTAATGGCAGAAGCATGCATGTGTTGACATAACTGATTGACATCAAAGGAAAAATCAGGACGAGTGATAGTTAAATACTGTAGAGCACCTGCTAAACTCCTGTACTGTGTGGCATCATCATATAAATCTGTGTTGGTACTCACGATTTTGGAGGAATAAATAGGAGTAGACAATGGTTTACATTCTGCCATTCCAGCACGTTTTAGAACGTCATGCATGTATCTCTGTTGCGAAAGAAAAATTCCATCTCTGCATTCAATTGCCTTAATTCCAAGAAAAAATCCTGGTTCACCAAGATCTCTAATTTTAAACACAGCAGAGAGTTTTGCATTTAGCTGTGTGATTAGGTCCTAATTATTTTCCATCATACGTATATCATCCACATAAACCAATAGATATACACAATCAGATCCCTGTGAGTGATAAAATAGAACACATCCGTTTTCGATGCCTGAAAATCAATATATAGTAGAAAAGTGTGTAAACGATTAAACCAAGCCCTACGGGCTTGTTTTAAGCCATACAGGGATCTTTTTTAGTAATTAGATATGATTTGGATGATGAGCATCAATATAACCTAGTGGTTGCTTCATGTACACAGTCTCAAATAGATTTCCATTTAATAAGGCATTATTGTAACACCCCAAAATTTTAAAACTTTTAAAGACTTATATAATAAAGGTATTCTCTTATTAAATCCCAAACAGAGCATTGTTAAACATAAAGGTACGAGGTGCTATGCCACACCTGAGCTGGAGAACTCAGATGCACAGGCTAACTAACTAAATTATGTAATAATGTAAATGGCACGCAGGCCGAAAGGGAAGCTATCTACACTACGCCTCGAATCTCTAGCGCGCTCCAGTGATCTACTCGTCTGTGCCTGAAAGCCAAATATATCTATTCAGCGAAAGATGCTGGTAACCCACTCCAACGCGTTGAAATACAATACATATAGAGATATATATAGATATACAAAAACCATTTTGAAAATGAAGATTATATCCTACGAACTCTAGCTTTTAAATCAGGGGTAGACTCGACAGATAGAGCTAAGCACAGACAACAGTTATACCAAACATATATAGTTACAAACAGGCAAGACAGGTAAAGATAAGCATAATTAATAATCATAACCCAACCCATACGATTCCCAGTATAAACCCCATAGTCACATCCCCAAGATACTCATAACAACAACTCATCCTTATCTCATCACATAGCACACTTTGTTGGCGCCACAGGACCAATCGCATGCCCATACATGAGGGTCAGCGCATGTAGCTCTGACACGGCCCGCAGCACCCTGCCCCGTATCGCAACACGGAGGGGTCGATCGCAACCGACCGATGAACCGCAGCTCATCATAGTTTGATCGCAACCAAACAGTGGACCGCAGCCCAAGAGTATGTCATCTGACCGCAGCCAGGAAATATGAACCGCAGCTCATGTAGAAACGTTTGATCGCAACCAAACGGTGGACCGCAGCCCGGGAGTGTAAATCTGACCGCAGCCAGCTTCTGAACCGCAGCTCAGGAATAACCAATCCGATCACAACCGAATTGGGGTATCATGCACACATAACACATAGCAAGCACATGCAACCCACATTAACACATTGGGAAGGGGGAGAAAACGTATAACAAAACCTATGCGTGATCCTTCACATACTAAGAATAATCCAAAGGGGTTCATACTTCTTTCACCTAGGTCAACGGGATACCAATTCAACTAGCATGCAATATATAAGACTCATACGACCTACGAACGGTACCCGAAATATCAAACTAGACATAGGCACGATAGACGGGGTCCGTTGGGACACCACGGGGGTCGGGGGGACATCAAACGGGGAAGCCAAAATCCCAAATTGGGGTGCAAACCAGCGGGTAGCCGGTGGGTGAGGGTTCACCCGCTGGCTGCCCTTGCCGGCGGCAGCTATTCCGGGCAGCGGGTGCCCGGAGGGCAGCTGCCCGCCCGCCGGCTGCCCGCTGCCGGCGTTGCCCAAGAAGGCCGCGGGTATGTGGCGGGTCCCCTACCCCCACCTACCCCCCATTGACTCTTTTTCACCAAAAATGCCCCGGGAACCTTTGTGGAACCCGAAACCATACTTAGACACTTTCAAACGCAATTGATAACACACGTAGACAATTAACGGACCAAAGATCGAGAAACATATGACACATAACCTATCATGCTTTTCTAAACATAATCAACACCCAATCATGCGAAATCCCACCCAATATACCAAGAATAATTCCATACGATACAACCTAGGGTTCTAATCATTTTTAAATCAACAAGGACACAATTCATCTTCTAATATTAAGATTCGGTAAGAATATCACATAAACATCAAGAACATCCTACAATCATCAAGAACATCATATAATCATCAAGAACGTCATATAATCATCAAGAACACCATAATTATCAAGAACCTTTCATCATCAAGATCACCCATGGAATCATCCCATCAATCATCAATAATAATATCACAAATCATCAATACACAATAATATGGGGAAATCCTAAGAGGGGAATCATAGCTATGAAAATAGGTTTTGTTGAGACATGAGTTACCTCTTAGCCTTAATTAATTCCTTGGCTATGAAGGGTCTTTCTTGAAGCTTTCTTCTTTCTTGATTTCTCCTAGGAGAATTCTTGGAACTTCTTGTGTGGTGAGGGATTATTGTGGTGGGGATTCTAGGTGCCTCCTTATGTTCCCTATTTATATATCTAAGAGTCTTACTTAGGCCTAATTACTATAGGTTTGCTAACTCTATTCCTTTTGGGACTAAGGATTGGGTTTAGGGATAAGGGCCCGTGGACTATGGTGGGCCTTTCCTAATTAATTATTGTGATTTAATTCTTTCTTTTGGGTAATTGGTTATATGATTAATTGGTTTTAGGGATCGTAACACGGGGTGTTACACTCTCCCCCCTTAACAGGAAGCTTCGTCCCCGAAGCTTGGTCCTTGTCGAGTGACTTCTTCTTAGTTACCTGGTGTGAAAAGTTCGGGGTAGCGTTCCTTTATTGTGTCCTTGAGTTCCCATGTCGCTTCCTTGGTCCCATGGTTGGTCCAGAGGACTTTCACCATTTCTATGGCTCGACGTCGGGTGGTTCTTGTCTTGGTGTCCAGGATTCTCACGGGTTTTTCTTCGTATACTAGTGACTCGTCGAGGTCCACGACCTCGGGTTGAAGCACGTGGCTTGGGTCGTGAACGTATTTCTTTAGCTGGGATATGTGGAATACGTTGTGTACTCGTTCTAGTTCAACGGGTAGAGCGAGGCGATAGGCTAGGTTCCCAACTCTTTCTATGATTTCATAAGGGCCGATAAATCGTGGGCTGAGTTTCCTTTTTCTTCCGAATCTCATTACCCCCCGTGTGGGCGAGATTCTCAACCAGACCTTGTCCCCGGTGTTGAATTCGGCTTGTTTCTTCCTTAGGTCGGCGTAGGACTTCTGGCGGTCCTGGGCAGCCTTCATCCTTTCCTGGATGTGTTTGACCTTGGTTATGGTATCTTGTAGGTATTGGGGTCCTAGTGCTACTGGGTCGACCATATCTTCCCAACATAAGGGGGTTCTACACTTCTGTCCGTATAAAGCTTCGTAGGGCGCCATACGAATGCTTGCATGGTAGCTGTTGTTGTATGAGAATTCAATAAGGTTTAGGTGTTCCTCCCATATCCCTTGAAAGTCTAACACACAAGCTCTTAACATGTCTTCGAGAGTCTGAATGGTTCTCTCGGTTTGCCCGTCAGTGGTGGGGTGGAAGGCGGTGCTCAGCTTTAGTTGTGTCCCCAAGGCTAATTGCAGCGATTTCCAGAATTGTGAGAGAAGCTGAGAGTCTCTATCGGACACGATGTTCCGGGGGACTCCGTGGTACTTCACTATTCGGCTCAAGTAGGCTTGGGCCAGTTGTGTCATTGTCCATGTTTCCTTCATGGCAATGAATCGTGCCGTTTTGGTTAGTCGGTCCACTATGACCCAAATTTTATCCTTGCCAGTTTTTGTTGGGGGTAACCCTCCAACGAAGTCCATGGATATGGAATCCCACTTTCCTTGTGGTATCTCAAGGGGTTGTACGAGTCCCTTGGGTTTGCATCGTTCGGCCTTCACCCTTTGGCAATTCAGGCATTTGGCCACGAAATCTGCGATTTCCCTTCTCATGTTGGGCCACCAAAACGACCTTTTCACATCTTGGTATAGTTTGTCACCCCTGGGTGAACTGAGTATGGGGAGTTGTGCCCTTCTTCCAAGATCTGTTGTTTCAGGTGGGGGTGCGTCGAGGGCACGCACCACCTACCTCAGTAACGGAGACTACAGTCTTCGTGTATTTCGAAGGGCCCTTCCTTCCCCTGGGTTAGGTCGAGGCAGATTTTATCTAGTTCCGGATCCTTCTGTTGTCCTATTTTGATTTCCTCGAAGAGTGTAGGTATGATTTGCGTGTTGAATAAGTAGATGTCGGGGTGGATTTGATCTTGCTCTATTATTTCCAAATTCAGTCTTTGAAAGTCCTTGTACAACTGGTCCGGTAGGATCTAGGTGGTGTTGAGGGAGTGGTTAGTCTTCCTGCTTAGGGCGTCTGCCACAATGTTAGCTTTCCCCTCGTGGTATTGGATGTCTAGATCGTAGTCCTTTATGAGTTCTAGCCATCTTCGTTGTCTCATGTTTAGGTCTTTCTGGGTGAAGATGTACTTTAGGCTCTTATGGTCCGTGTAAATCTTGCATTGCACCCCTATAAGTAATGCCTCCAAATCTTTAGTGCGAACACCATAGCGGCTAGTTCGAGGTCGTGGGTGGGGTAGTTCTCTTCGTGGGTTTTGAGTTTCCTGGTTGCGTATGCTATTACCCTGCCTTTTTGCATTAGCACGCACCCCAATCCCTTTTTGGACGCGTCACTGAAGACCTCGAACCCTTCCTCCCCGGAGGGGATGGCGAGCACGGGTGCCGTGGTCAGCTTATCCTTCAATTCTTGAAAGGCCGAGATGCAGTCATTGTCCCATCGGAAGGGAGTTTCCTTTTTCATGAGTTTGTTGAGGGGTTGGGCTATCCTAGTGAAGTCGGGTACAAACCTCCTGTAGTAGCCAGCCAAGCCTAATATATATGTATTGTATTTCAACGCGTTGGAGTGGGTTACCAGCATCTCTCGCTGAACAGATATATTTGGCTTTCAGGCACAGAAGAATAAGTCACTGGAGCGCGCTAGAGCT